AGTTAAAGGATACTGAGGAAGGATGATCAATTTTATAGATGTCTCCTAAGTTTAGCATGTTCCATTTAAAAACAGAATAGCCCTGGTATTTGTTTCTCAGGGCTTTCTTTAAAAACCCATGACCTCTATGTTTACAAGTCCCAATAAATGCTAATTTACAAGATCTCACCCTGCGTGAAGATTTAGATCATTTAATGCCAAATTCTGTCTTATCTACCTGGAAAATCAAGTCTCTGGAAAGTCATCTCATGGGTGGACAAATGGAACCATTGTCTCTGTCTCACCAAATGACACAACAGACTTAGACTTCACAGATCTTGTCTTAAGGAACTCGAATGCTTTTCTATCAGTGCCCTTAAAAACAGAATAGGCACATAGGAGATGATGTAGAATAATCTGACAAGTAATGACATGAACACTAGTTAGAGTGAGTCACATAGGGAGGATTCTGGGTAATGTGGCACACACTTTAGGGGAAGAACAAGAACTCGGGAGTTGGCTGAGGGGCCTCCACTGGTAGTAAACATCACAAAAATTGATGAAAATACTTAACGTAAAATGAAAAAAACACACTCATGTTTCAGCAATGACAGAAACATCAACTTACAAAGGCCATGGTTTTAGTCCTCTTAAGAGCTGATCACTCAGGGTCCCTATACAGAGGTCCAGGGTGAACACAGAGAATTCAGAAAACCGACCTGGGAAAACGGAAAAGACCTTGAGACCTGTTGTGCTTTAGTGTTTCCCCACTGGATTTAATTTTATCATTATGCTCTTCCATTCCAGGTTCTAAATTACCTCACATTACATACAATTGGGTAAATTAGACTTTTCTGCGTGAATTGACATCCTCTCCAATTCTCATAATTCTCGGTTGCACAAGTCATGAGCAGACGCTTCTCTATACTGAAGCCAGACCCATATACTTCAGCAGGAAATTTTCTGGCCAATGTGCCATTTTGTTGATGTAGATATACGTCTGAGATTGGGCAGCTCTGCCCTGTTCTGAGCAGACCTTCCTTCCATTTTCCAACTTCAGGATGGAAAAGAGGCCACATCTTCCTAACCAGAACCTCTTTTGTGACCTACTGACTGGTTGAAGTTTGTCAAGATATTGGAAATGAACCAAGAATATTCAGTACTCTGAATCTAGAAAAGCTTACTGATTAAAATATATGACACAACGCCATTATACCGGAATACAAAGTAGTCATTAAATGTTAAGTTGGGAAAAATATTTAAGAACATGGAAAATATTCCAATATAACGTCAACAGAAAAATCCGATTGGCCAATAAATTTATTTTGTAAGATACGTAAACATACCAACAAATATCACACAGAACTGACAGATAATCATAACACAGTACAGAAAAAGTCTGCAAAGTTATATAACTGTGTATTAACAGTGCTTACATTTTTGGTTTCGACAATCAGTATTCCCTATCTTTTTGCTCTGATCATTTTTTCTTTATTAAAATACTAACTTCCTAATCATCATAACAGGAAATATATTGAGTTTTGCATGTTTTTAAAATTTTGGTTGGGGATTTCAACAAAATTCTTTGTTCTCAAAACTTGGATCATTTTACTGAGTGCTATTTTGTTTGTGGTCCTTTGGATCCCCAAACCTGAACTCACTTTATTATTTCCTCTCAGGTATGTTAGAATTGTCTAAAAAAATAAAAAAGGAACAGACCTGCATAATCTCTTCTATAAATTGATGGTGGTCTTAATACAGCTTTATTTCAGGTCTTCTTGACAGAAGGGCTTATTTTGTTTCTAAAACTGGCAGGTTAGCAATGATGTCCTCCAGATGAGATTCTTTTACCTATTAATTCACTTTCATTTAATGTCCTTAGAATGAAGAACATAAAGGTTACAATATTAAATCTATTCACTGTCACACAGATTCCATGTGCTCAGTATAATTTATTCATATCCTGACTGTTACTATAGTCAGAATGACATCTCATTTCAGTGAACTCACAAGACAGGTCACCTAAATCTCTCCAGTCTCTATCTCACACTGCCCTAAACTTACCTATTCAGATTTTACCTTCCTTGATAGACTGCAAGCATTTAAAGGGAACAATTCTATCTTTTTTTTTAAAAGATAACCATAGAAGTACAAAAGGCATATGAACAATTATGTTCATCTGAGAATAATTTCTTGATAACCAAAATATAAAAACATAAATATCTCACAGTGGACAGCTGGTTCAACACATTATGGTTAGCTGCATGGTGGCATAGTATTATTATAACAATGTTATCTTAAATATATTAATTTGCCATCTTAATAAGATTGATATGAACCATATAACTGAAGGAAAACAATATCAAGAATGAGTATCATTCATTTAAAAAAACAGTATCACTCAAAAAAGCATTTTAAAAGTATGTATAACTAGTAAGTAGTATCCTGATGAAATTAAGAAATTCTGTTATCAAATATTCAAGAAGTGATATGGAGCTTTGTGCCATTAATAACCTGCCAGTGCATCTGCTTCCCAATCATGAAAGTAGGGATGAGAATACCATCTACCACAAATAAAGGTTTAGAAAATTAATCAAGATAATATACATACATACATACTGGTTAGTCTAATAATGTATCATTACTGAAGATGAAAAATATTACATGTCCCTCACTGCATTATTTTAAGAGGAACTGCTTCCTGCTTACCATTCCAAAGTTTGCTTTTTAACTTTTTCTTACCATTCTACTTTGAAGATTTTCAGGACTATCTTGGAAAAAACACAGTTCTTTAAAAGAAGGGAAAAAAGCTTTTAAAAAAAAGGAAAGATTACTAGACAGATAAAGAGCATGTCCCATTCCTCAGTCCCCAGTAGCTACAGAGAAAAAGGAAAACATCAGCCTCATAAACCTACTCAAAGAACAGGATCTAATAAAGTGCTAAACTGAGGATATTAACAAGAGTGAATCTTATTCTTTTGCACACAAAAGAAAATATTACAATCTTCATTTTCTTTTTATACTAACTCCCTTAGGAAATATCATTTGTACTTTCAAGATACCTGGATATCATAGATTTCTACTATTTTCTTCGAAGGAACCTTACATCTCTAAAATACGAATCTTGAAAGTCTTGCTTAATTATTTGGTGGTCTGTTAATTAAGGTTTAAATGATATTTCTAATATCAAAAACCTGTAAATGCTTGGAATGTTTTTCACTCAAGGAGATCCCTTAAACTTCGCTCTACTCCCTACATGCACTGATATATATATAAAGAAACATATAATTGAGTTAGATTCCTTTTTCAAAATAACAGTTTAAGTCTCAGTCCTTTATTCTGTTCTGCAGAAAGAAAAAGAACATGAAAATATGCACAGATGAAAACTGCAAAATATACACCAAAATTTTGAATATGATTATCTCTGGGCAGGAGAACTCAAGTTAATCCAACTTTCTTCTTATTAAAATATTTTTAAAACATCAGTATGGGAAAAGGGTGCATTTTCACCTTTTAAAAAATTCTGTAAATATAAGTCCTAGCATGAAAAAAAAACTCTTACTGTTCCTAAACAGCCTTCAGCTGCACTGTAGCTACATACACATTTCACTATAAAGAACCTACTGTTAATGTAAAGAGAAATAGCTTTGCCCATGTAATGAAATTAGGTATTCACAGGATGCTCAATACATATGGTTTCATTCCTTCCATTCTCCTATGAACAATCAATTAAATTATAATGTTGGATACAATCCATGCAAAAGGTTTTACAAAATTCTACTTTTTAAAATAGGCTGGATATATAATTTAAAAATTTCTTAAGAACTCTTACCCATAATTATAAGCATGGTTTAACATTAATCATAACCATTTTCCCATGTATCTACTATTTTTTTTACAAAGGTAAATTTTAGTATCTGCATTATACTCTTACATGTCATCTGATTTTCTAAACCATCCACATAATCTTGGCCACTAATTTTGTGCAAAACCATTCCCAGGTACAATAATATTTCATTCGAGACCTATGTTAATTAATTTGGATTATGTATACCTTTGGCAAATGCAAATTTACGAATATATACCGCAATTCTCCATACAGTTTCAAGGGGTTTGTGTTGCCCTCTAAACCCACAGAAACAAAGACCTCTAGTCAAGAACTCCTGCCTTGGAACACTTTGAATTTTGGCTCACTTCCTTATTGTGCAAGCGAGCATACATCACAATGAAGTTCCTGTTTCTATTGCTTTCGGCTTACAGAAACTTGAAATGATTTGGAATCATACTGGGCGCTTTTATTTCCCCCTCCATCGCTATACGTATGGTGATCTACATAAAAGCAGAACGAAGTACGGTGGATATAATCTGGTATCAGTGTTCACTGCAGGTTTTTGAAGTGAGTGCTCAGGAATGGTGTTTCTTAACACGTAAATGAATTCCCAGACCCCGCGGGGATACCCTTCAGGAAATAAATCCTATTACTGTAGTTTATCATGTTTGCCACAAGGGCAATCCCTGATCTAAACTTCCCACCCTAACAGAAACTCTATAGTTTCTTTCAACCCTTATCTAAAGCTCAGTATCTCATCATTTCCCCACGGCGGCCGCACGTGGCTGAGAAGATGGCCCAGAAACACTCACTACAGCGCCACTGCAACCGACGCTCACACACAGGACAAGCACCATATGTCCCCGTCACACGGACACCACGCACTTCTCCCAGCCTCGCAGGTGCCCCGATCGCCACGGAGGTAACCCGCGGCCCTTCACACGCAGCGCGGCCTCTCACAGCCGCACGCCCTCCCGTCTCACGGGGATACAGCCACCCTCCGCGGCCGCTGGGGCCCACAGGCCGGAGGCGGCGGGCGGACTCTCCCTGCCCGCGCTCCGAGTGCCTCTCTCAGTCCGGCTCTCACCGCCGCTCCCCGTCCCACGCGGGCTCCACGCTGCGCCCGCACCGGCTTGCCCGCAGCGACCCCACCGAGTTCTTCCTCAGATGGGGAAACGCAGCGCGCAGAAAGAAGCGCAAAAGGAGCCGGAGGCGAAGTTCCCTCCAGCACTATGGAGCTGGAGTCCAAGGTCGTAAAAATCCAGACGTAAAGCCTCCCGAGCCCCAGAGGCTTCTGGGAGTGGCGGCCCGCACTGCCCGTGCGCAAGCGCAGACGACCGCCTGCTTCAGGCTCTGAGCTGGCCACCAGCGCGCTTAGAGGTCGTCAGGGCCTGGAGGAGAGCGGAGAGCGGGCAGGACCAGACCCGGCAGTTCCGAGAAGGGGCCTGCCGAGCTCTTCCGTAACGAGGCCTCAGGACTGTGGGTGAGGGACTGTCCTGTAGTCAGTCGGTGATGTGGCCCTGAGGACCATCCCGTGCTTGCGCCGGTAAGCACCCGAACAGAGGACCCTGGGTCTGTTATGTCCCCTGAAATAACGACAATATGCTCAGTAATATATGAGAATGATAACTTTTAATACCACTGCTAAAGGTCTACGCTGTCCAGTAAAGTGTTAAGTAAACTGACTAACATTCTATGCGCATGAAATTACATTACAGTCTTCATCCTTGGATACATTAAAGATGGACTGAATAATTGTAGTGGCAAACAACGATCTTAGTAAATATCTTGTAAATGTTTTTATTATTTTGGTTTAAGCTATTAAGTTTTCTAAACAAAACCAAGTGGAGAAATGCAAATATATTTAGAGAGAGAACCTTGACATGATCTTTACTTGTAAAACATAATCGTTATTTAGAAGTATCCAAAGTATCTGAATGTTATAAATAAAGCAAAAACAAAAGATTAAAATAAATGAATTTGGGGAAAATAATTGTAACAAGTTAAATGGACAAATAGGTCATAATTTATTTTAATGTCTCAACAAAATATTGGTCAATAACCTAGAAGAAAACGAAACAAAGACTAGAAAGTCATCATTCACAAATATAAATAGTCAAAAAAACATAATTCAAGTCACAACCTAAGACCTTCTTTTTTGATCACATAGGGGAAGGAAACTAATTTTCCCTTTACCCTTCTGAGTTCTTGGCTGAGACCCAGGTAATAAAAGATTAACAATAGTATTAGTTTATCAACGTGGGCAGCAGCGTTATCACGTAGGAGAAAGCTAAAGCAAAAATTACTTCAAATGGTAGCTCATAATCCCACATTATATTGCAAAAGGAATAATAAACTTACAGAGATGTCAGGAAAAGGAAAGTAGTTTTAGGCTTCAAGTGGGAAGGTAAATCTATGGGAAGAAACTAATGGAGTAAGGTTTCTTTGCAGAAACCTCTGAAGCCCTCTCTGGGGTGGTAAGAGTCTGTCTCCTGTAAAATAATTTAGTTCCTGCCTTTAGGCATGTAACTCCGGGGGGAAAATCCCGGGACAAAATACCTTTGAAATCGAAATCAG